GCATGCCCCACGCACACTCACACGCACACACGTGTGTCCGAGCGCACGTGCGAGCGTGCCCCACGCAGAGTCACACTGGCACACGGGTGTCCGAGCGTACGTGCAAGCGTGCCCCACGCACACTCACACGTGTACACGTGTGTCCGAGCGCACGTGCAAGCGTGCCCCACGCACACACGTGTGTCCGAACGCACGTGCGAGCGTGCCCCACGCACACTCATACGCGCACACGTATGTCCACACGCACATGCGAGGTTACCCTAATATTTTTATACACATTTTATAATTCATATTGCATAAGTATTTATATACCAAATTTGAATACCCATCTTTCGATGTGGGATAATTCCCAAACATCATTAAATGAAAACGAAATGTAAATATAGCCTATTAATCAGTAGTTTTTAAATCACATGTAGTTAGATGGCTTGATAGTTATGACTTTGAATTGTTTACTTGAGGTCCCAAAGTCGAATCCCCTTGGGCATGTGTTGCGTTTGAATCCCCTTGGGTATGTGTTGCATTTTTGTTGTGTATATAGTGGTTGGTATAAATATTTTTGTTGTTTTCGAATCATTTGGGCATGTGTTGCATATATAGTGGTTGGTATAAATATAAATATTTTTTTTGTGTATATAGTGGTTGGTATAAATATAAATATTTTTTTAAATAATATAAAAGACATAAAAAAATGAAAAATAAAAAAATTAATTTTTTATATAACTGTTAATTTTTGTTGTATATAATGGTATAATTATTTTTGTAAATAATATGAAAGGTATAAAAAAAATAAAAATAAAAAGTTTGTTCTATTTGAAATCTCCATCTTTGTACTAACAATCTCTTTTACTAAATTTATTATAGAAACCTTAAAAAATAAATTTTTGAAAAATTGAAGTGTTATTTCCAAAATTTGTATGCATTTTATTAAGTTTTACATTGATAACCAAATCTTTTATTTTATTTATGAATTTTTACATTATAAATCATGTTATGTACTATTTTTCTTACAGTTGTCAATAATACATTTTAAATTAGATAATATTATAAAATATTTTTAATTTGTTATAATACATTAGTTAGGCTGTAATAGTTTGGGTTTTTTTTAGAGGGTTAGGGTTTTTTGCCAAAACGAGATTTTAATGGCCATTCTTTCATGATTAGTCTACTCTTTATAATAGTCCATATATAATTATATATTTTATCCATGATAATTCTATGATTTTTTTTTTATGTGATGCAAATTTAATAGTTAAAATAAATTTATACAGGGTAGGAATATCTCAATATTCACAAATTGATAAAAAAAATGAAAGTTAATAATGTAGTATCCTCAGTTTTTATTGGATTCTTAAAAAACAACATTTATAATGAATTTTAATAATTTTTTTGAAGCTTTAATCCAACCGATTCCCGATCCAGATAGCCGATTCGCCGATCTGGATCGATTTTTGAGGTGCCCGATCCGGGTCACCGATTCGTTTTTTAAATCATTGCTAAATAGTAATAAACCTCTCCCAATATAGTCTATATGTAATTTGCTAAAAAAAATAGAGAGTTAGAGCAGGAAATCAGGCCGCAAGTTGGTATTTCAAACACTGGACACCAAATTTACCTAATTTTAAACGGCTGCCCATGTCCAGTGTTTGCATTGATAGACATGATGCAGTGCATGAAAAAAACATTACCGCATAAAAATGGTCATACTCATAATTTCGAACAAACGAGTGCTCATTTGGTAATTGAACACCCAATAATGTCCATACGTAATTGGCTCTAAACATTTAGGGGCCGTTTGGACACCTGAAAATATATTGTTTGTGAAGTACATTACGGGTGTAATACATTACTGCGTAATATATTACTTGCAAATGGATTGTCACTGTTTGGGTAGTATTTAGATGTAACTTGGGAAATACATTGCTAATGTTTGGCTATGTCGGTAAGAAATATGAGAAATGCATTACTATCCAAATATGAAAAATAGGGCTATGTTTGACTAACATGATTAGACTTTGGTTTCAACATGATAAGTCATTGGAATAATATAATTGGAATAACATGATTTTATTGTGATAAACCTTATTTTTATTTATTTATTATATAAATCTTTCAAACGTCTCTATATATAATTTTAAATAAGCAATAAATTTATGATACTAAAATCTAAATCTTTATGATACAAATTAACAAATGGGGAGAAGTTTGATTAGTAAACTCGAAGGTTTGGTTAAAGAGGTATCTTATTTCAACTTTTACTAATATCTTAAAAAGATTATATTGTGTACAAATTTGTATTATAATTGTGTTGTGTAATTTTTCATTGATTATTAATTATTATTTTATTTTTTTTGTTTGTATATGAGAGCTGATAGCGGGCTACAAGTTAAATTAGAGATAAAGGGAAGTAGAAATTTTTTTATTATGATTACATAAAAAATTGTTCTTCATCGACGTCCATAACAGCTCAAATCAACTTAAATTTTTTTTTATTTTCGTTTCTTATTATTAAATTTTTTTAATTTTTATATAAAAATAAGATGAGAGCTACCCCACCCAAATTGGAGATACAGGCCATAAAATTTTTTTATTATTCGAATCGATTTAGATTACCGAATAACAAAATACGAACGCTACCGCGTATATTTTACCAGTCCGCACCGTATTACTGGATATTTCCCTAAGAAGTAGGTGGGGGCCAGTGGATAGGTGGGTCCCATCCAATGGGCCCCTCTTCCAATTACGGCCTTCCCTCCAATCAAAACCCATCCGTCTCTCCGTTCGCAAAATGTGAGTCATGGCTGTGTGCTTCTTCTGCACCGGCCGCGTTGTGTGGCTTCTGACCAGAAACCCTAATTCCACTTCCATGGCTTCCAAGCCCTTCTCTGCAACCTCTGTTCCAAAACCTGACCCTAACCCGTACCCTAGCCCTAGTCCTAAGGAGGCGTATGTAATATTACCTAAGAAGAAGCCCCTGAAATGGTCGACTGGTGACGCTCCAGGTGAATATGGTGGACCTCCATTGACGAGCAAGCTCAGGAAGTATTGGGGTGGAGGAAACGAGGACCCATTGACTGCAACCGATGATTTCATTTGGAATAAGGAGTTTATGGGTCGGATGAAGCGGTTGCTTGAAGAGGACAAGCCAGTCGAGCCTCCTGCTAAGGCATTTCATTTCCTATTTGTTTTGATTGTTTTCAAGTTTGCGATTAATTTTAGGTGAATATTGAAGGAATTGTGATCAATGTGCTATCCTTTTGTGAAATCGAGCGCCATTGTTTATTTGTGCTCCTGTTGAATTTTAAAGTTACAGTGGAAGCTTGTAGGTTGCAGTTTTACTTAGTTGGAAATGTGTTTATATTTATTAAAGTCATATATGGTTAGTGGATGAAAATGAAGATATATGATCAGATGTTGGATTTCATGTGGTCAATGTTAGCCGGATTAAGACATAATATATGGAAATGCAAGTTTAATAATAATAGGTGTAGAACCGATGAATTAGTTAAGATTGATAGCGAAGAAGTATTTCGAAGAGATTATTTTCAATATCTTGGGTACATAGTTCATGGGAAAGGAGAAATTAAAAAAGATGTTGCTCCTAGAATTAGAACTGGGTAGACGAAGTGGATATGTGCGTTTAGAGTCTTATGTGATTGTTGTATATCGATGAAATTGTATATCGATGAAACTCAAGGGTAAGTTCTATAGGGTGGCTATTAGACTAATCATGCTTTTTGAGACAGAATGTTGGGCTTTCAAGAAACAACATATCTATAAAATGAGTGTAGCTAAGATGAGGGTGTTAAGATGGATTAGGGGCAAGACAAGAACGAATAGAATTCAAAATGAATACATTGAGGGTGTTGAGATGGATGAGTGGCAAGACATGGAAGGATAGATTCAAAATGAATACATTTGAAAGAACTTAGGGGTAGTTCCAATAGGCTATAAAACTAGGGCAATTCGATTTAGGTGGTCTAGTCATGGGCAGCATCGGCCAAGAATAGCCATGGTTAGGAGGAGTGATTTGGTTCAAGTAGAATACTACAAAAGGGCTAGTAGAAGTCCTAAAGGACATGGATAGAAATAGTGAGAAAAGATATTAGTATGACAAAGGGTACGACCCTTGATAGAGCGGAATGGTGGATTCGTGTGTAGCCAACCCCAAATAGTTGTGATAAGGCTTAGACAATGAAGATGATGGTGATGATATGGTCAATGTTACCAAGCTAAGTGTGATGTAAAATTTTGTATTTTGCATTGAACTGAGAGATAAACATTTTGGGAAAATCTTTGGGAAAGGAAAAAATGAAAAAAATATGAAAAGGCTCCCAATCTAGAAGCCACAATTTGCAGGCTTCTAAATGTGAATTTCATTTGGTGTTTGATTACAGGCTCTTTAAGAACCACCATTTATTCGATGTTAGCAACAATCAGTGTTCAAGAAAGCGCAAGGGCCCGCCCAAGAATAGGGTGCCCTCACAAAAATTGAACTGCCCCTCTTCCCCCAACCCCAAACCAAAAATTTTACTATGTTAGTTTTACATGAATGTATAAGATTAAGATGTTACTATGTTATTTTTACAGTAAGACTTAATTCATTAAGATATCATATTATTAAGAATTTAATATATATGATATCATTAAGATGTTAGTTTTAAAACAGTAAGACTTAATTTTACTTTATAGTAAGACTTAAATGAGTATATAAGATCTTAGTTTCACTTTTACATAAGACTTAATTCATTAAGATATCATGTAATTAATAATTTATCAAAAAATAAAACAAAAATAATAAAATATCAAAGCATGACACATTGTACAAAAATGGAATAAACTATTCATAAAAAAATACGATATATGCCCAATTTCATCATTTAAAAGAGGAAAAATTCAATTAATAACAAAAAAATAAATCTTTCAAATACAAGCATGTAAATATATTGTAAAAGAAAAGACAAATGATTCACAACATAATACGTTGTAGCAAAAAATCAAATCAAAATCCTTTTTCAAATATGACAATACTTTAAAAATATCAAAATCAAATCGATGCCTGTGCAAACCTCATCTATGGGGTTGCTAAAAGTCCTCAAAATCAATTGCTAGAAGCTCCAAATCTACCCACAAACTATTGCCTTTGTTTTGGGAAGAAATCGAAAAAATAAAAATTTTATCGATCTTTCAATAAATCACAAAAGAGTGGTTTTTGGGGAGTTTTTCTCTTCCTAAAAGGCACGGTTTTGGTTTTGGGGGTTTAGAATACCCCTAAAACCCTTTTCCCCCCCTTCTTAGGGGGAAATTGACTTTTTTTACCCTCGTCGAGACCCTTTTCCGCCTTTTTGCAAGCTGTCATGAGGCGATGCCTAGACTGTAGCGCCTAGGCGGGCGCCTAGAAGTAGGCTGCCTAATTGTCCCTCCTCGTCAGCGCCTAGTCGTTTTTTAATTTTTTTCCGCCTAGGCAACCACCTAGGCGGTCCGACAGATGAATTTTCGAACATTGGCAACAATATTATGTTTTGTCAAAAAAATAAAGTGGGAATGGACAATCTTGTAATATAAAACTATGGAAATGATAGGAGACAGGTGGGAGTGGAGGATGTAACTTTTGCATAATTGGAATGGGTCTAGTTTCTACTTTGCTAAAAGAGACACCCAACCTGGTAAGATCATCAGGTTTTTTGTGAATCCTCTAGGGATGAAGCATTTCTTTTGGGTTGAGGTTAATGCCTTAGTTAATGCCTCATATTGTTTGGCATGTGTATCTTCACCATTCATTTTCCAAATTTGGTGTTAGTGAAGGGTGATTCTTTATCCGTATTAAGATTGCTTGAAGGGTTTGTTGCCATGGACTGCGGGTTGAGTGGTATTGTTGCAATTCAAGATAGATGGTATTGGCTTATGCTAATGACATATGATGCATAGACAAATAAGCTAGAATTTCAATATGGGAAGGGTATGAGCTCGTGGGGATTTTAACTACCTTAGATGAATCTTAATTTTCTAGTATGATGCTCATAGTTGTCGGGATCTGGACCGGGACCTCGACTAGGTCCGGAACCTGTTTCTCGATCATGATAGGATAGAAGATCCCTAGGCTTGGGATTGTTGTCATTACATCCTAAAATCTGGGGATCCTGATCCCGACTTGTTGGGGCACTTGATTATAACTTCTTGGGATCACATGAAAAATTCTAAGGGTCTGAGCTCTATCTGGTTAAAAATCGAGGTCCTCGTATGTACTTAAATTGGGTTCCCTAGGGCAAGGGAACAGTCAGTATAATATTATAATCAATTAATTATTTAAAAATTATAATTTTATTAAAAAATTTAAAATCCATTGTACGATAGTTTAATATTTTTGTACTCATTTGATGGTAGTCTAAAGAAATTGAAATCTTATAAAAATACTTAAAAAAATTTAAAATTATATAATAATCTAATTTTTCATATTTCTTTGAGTGCAGTTTATGGATTTATGTAACTTTTTCTACTACAATCCTAGCCATGCAATCATTCTTCTTCCTTGATAAGCGAAAGCATTAGCATCAGTATTTACTTGAAGCTCAAGGATTAAACTCCTGTTAAAAATGCCAGAACGGATAGAAGTACAATATATTCTATCAACACAGGAAATTGCATGTATGAACAAAAAATGCAACAAATTTATTATATAATATTGAAAAGTGTTAACTGATGCTAGTCGTGCAAAGAAGCTGTTACCTCGTATTTTCTTCGTCAAAATAAAGTAATAAGAATATAGATATCAAGTTGAAGCCTGAGCTTTGAACTAATGACCTGTAAACGATGGATCCTGTAGTCTACCACCATTGGAAATCACGTATGTGTGCATAAATCAATATATTTGTTTTTGATTCTTGAACCAATGTTCATGGGACCTCGACCCCATGTTAACAGAACCTCAATTCAGTTGACTTAAGAACCCTAGGATATGGTAGTATGCTGTGGATTGTGATCCCAAAGAATTGGGTTTGAACTTCCAAATTTCAAAATCGCAATCCCCTGGAGATCCGTTTCATTGAGTGCTAGAGCGAGATCCCTGAGATCTGTAGCATTGATTATGTTACACTCATATCGTTTAAATATGAAAATGAAGAAAGATTGGCCAAACCTAGGATCAAAGGAGTTCTAAATGTGATGAGGTCTTTGAGGACTTACGAAATTCTAAATGTGATGAGGTCTTTGAGGACTTGCCAAGTTGTTTAGAGGTTTTCTTGGGTTTGGATTTACAATACTCAGTGCACTGGGTTTTTGATGTAATTTCTATCAAAAGCAATTGACTTACGCACAGCTTATAGTTTTAGATGCATAACAATATTTCTAATGGTTCTCATTTTTAGGTTCTCTTTTGTAACAATTCCATTTGTTTGCGTTCTATGTTCCTAGTTAACTTATATGGTCTTCACTTTCTGTTGTTGGGGTTAGGAAGAACCATCTGGATTTCTTAGCTTGAATAGAGCAATGAGTCTTGACAGGTATTTATTTAGATCTCTAAGCTTTATGATCATTATTTTCTAGTGTGGCAATTTTTTTGGTGCTCATTTAAAATGATATATTTGTTGCCATCATCAATAGTATCGAGATTGACTTGAGTGAAGAGCTTTGTAAACCTTCAAAGCCTGTGTTAGAACAACAAGTGGAAGCCGCTAGGCTTGGTCAGTCATTAAGTGCGGTAAGATTAATTTGGTGAATCAGTCAGCTTTACAATCCATATTACCCCATTTCTTAATATTTCATTACTTTCGAAACTGGTGTCGATGATTCTCAGGATGCTGGCAGTAGTGGATTCAAGTGGAGATTTGTGCCAACACGACGTGAACAAGCGAAATGGGACCGAGCTACTAAGGCTGCAACTGGTGGAAGCGTGAGTAAAAAGTATTTTTCTGTTTTGGACTTCTAGTTTTTATCAACCTAGAACATTCTATAGTTTCGATATGGTTTATTTCTTCTGTGTTTTTTAATAGTTCAAATGTTAGCAGTGTTCAAAATCGTGGACTTGGTCTCATACTTGCTAGAGTCCTGAGCCTGTGTCACTCAGTCCAACTCAGACACTGACTTTGACCAGTGATTTTTTAAAAGAAAAAAAAGGGTTTAGGGTGGGACTCAGGGTGTGTCTTAAAGGTTTGCTTCTGCACTTACGGGCACGAACCATGCTGACTCATGCGAGTCCCAAGTTGGCTTGGCAATTTTTTAAAAGGCTGTTGCTTAGTTTTTAGTTATGAAATAACTGATTACCGTTTTCCTTTTGCTCTGTCTCAATATTTTTGAATTATTCTTGGAATACCTGTGTTTATTCAAAAGAATATTCCTTTAGTTATGAATCAGTCTTACGAGATTTCCGTAAGAAATATTTACGAGATTTCCATAAGAAATATTTTTACATTCAAACTTTATATTGCTTGCTTTTTTTTCATATGTAATAAATAATAAAATTGAATGTCACTGGGGATTATGCAATAAGAGTGATATCACATATTAACTTCTGTATGTAGGTTGCAGTACACATTCTGTACAAGGCCTACAAATGACCTGAATTCCAAACTGGATATACCATGATATTCTTAAAGGAAAATGATGAAATGTTACTGCATACTACTGTAATCGCATATATACAAGACTAGCCTTTGATCGTAGGCATTTGTATTTGATTCTCTTATGATGCTGAAGAATGCAGATTCAATGGCCTGTTTGTCTCGTCTCTTGGAGCATGATCTCTCTTTTAATGCCTGTCTGCCTTAAGAAATATGCCTCTCTCTCTCTCTGCCTAATTTCCTACAAATAAGCTGACTTGTCTCTCTCTACCTTTAAGAAATATACCTCTCTCTCTCTCTCTGTCTGTGTGTGTGTGTGCGCGCACGTGGGGGTGGGTGGGTGTGTCTGTCCATGTGTGTGTGCATTCTTCCTCATCACCTACATGTGGTCCATTCGGATGCATTTATCTTTATTTTTTAAATGAAGATTTTTTTTATTATTCATATTACACTGTTGCAGAGTTTTTTCTTAATTCATATTACACTCTCATTCCTTGTTGATTTATTATTTCATTAGATTTAATTTTTTATTCATATTTTGAAAACCCTGAATTCCAGACTTCTTTTGGGCCCATTTCCATCTAGGACCTCATTCAAAGTGGAAAATTCCATGGCTCTCGTAGGAAATTGGTCCTATTTTTTTCTTTGCTTTTTTTAGTTTTTTTTGGCCAAAGGGGATGGCACCCTTGTATTTTGGCCCCTAAACCATTGAGAAACATGACTTATAATCATATACTTCAGGTTCTTTATCCATTTTTCAACACTATTCCGCAACCTTTCATGGTCACACCTTGTTTTTAGCTTCGTAAAATTCCATCCAATTTTGGCTGGAAAGTTAAGCATTTTGTTTCCATGTAACATTCTTTCTGAAACCTAGCTAGACCTGTTTCTTCCTCTTTTTATTTTAGAATAGCTAAAATTGTATGTTAATTACACGCATTAGATATGATAAAAAACTTTTGTTGAAATATTTTATCCTTGGATGTTATATTTTACTTTTGATGTAAGACATAACTACAGGATGTAATGTTGCGCAATTTAAAACGAAGTAGAGAGGACCCCAAGATTTTAGCAGCTCGAGCCAGGGAGCAATATCGTCAGGTAGGAAACCTTATACATGGTCAATTGCAGCAGGATAAAAAATGCCGTTTTCTTTATTTTGAAGTTTCTTTTAGTGAGTTAGAGTTATTGAACTGCTTCTCTTGTGTCTAATGTCTCTATTATTGTTGCAGTTGAAACAAAAAATGCAACTTCTTACAGTTGGTATAGGTGGGATTGGCATTCTATCTGCTTATGTTAGCTATTCTCCAGAAATTGCTGCGAGGTAGATATGGTTGTTCAGAATTGGAATCTATAGTATTTTTGCAGCTCTTTAACTATATGATGCATAGATGCTGCGCTTTGGTAATAATTAATTGATAATGGATTATTCATTTATGAAGAAATTCCAAACACAGTTTTTCTTCTTTTTTTAATGGGAAAAGTTTATATAGAGCCTAGGCTCTAAACAATCAAATTAGAGCCTACCTCAAAACTTTCATTAGAAGAGGTTGTTTTGATGCCCAAATATCATCAAATTGATCATCTCGACATCGAGATGCATGGACATGAGAAGGAAATGGATTTCAAGTTTTGGAAATAGTGCATCTTGTAACGCATTTTTGGACTGTCAATTTTTAAGATTTTCAAGTTTTCATAGATCTGCTCGATCTACACTATTTTTGAAGCTTTAAATTTTATAACTAAAGATGAAAGTATAATTTAAGGCTATGACAAAACTTTTCAGTAATGAAACCATATTTCTCGACACTATTTGAAGGTGGGCTCTAATTTGATTGTTTAGAGCCTCGGCTGTATACAAACCGCACCATTTTTTTAATTTTCTTATAACTTTGTCCTCTACAATTAAGCTGTTCTGCTTTTTGTATATTTCATGTGATATAGAGAAATACATAAACAATTACATTGATGATTCTCTAATGTAATAATAGATTTGGTCTGCATTTGGAAAAGGAAAATTATGTGGTAAATATGCCATTTCCCAACTTTTCCAATGCTGGTCAAACTAACAGTTCCCGCCCGTGTTTGTCATGCCCTTATGTCATTATAAGAACAGGCGAAACACCACTATTCCACTCTCCTTTTAAATAAAAAGAAAATAACATATTGATTAAGATGGACTCAACCTGAGTCTAAACCCATCCAATAAGTTTATCAATGAAGCATTGGCATGCAAAAGTCTCTGTATCATTATTTATTTAAGATTTGCGCTCAACAAATTGTGGGAGGAAACAACATATTTCTCATTTGGGAAAATGTGATTGCTGAAAATGAACAAGCTGATTGTACTATTTATCAGAAGTAAAAGGTGCTGACTGTAGTCTTTCAAATTGCATTGATTTTTGTGTAAATGTGACTTTTTTTTAAGGAAAATAAACCTTGCACAAATATCCTTGTCTTCAGCTTTTATGCTGGATTGTGAGGCTATGAATGTTGGTTGACCTAGGCATGTGACAGCAATTATCAATGTATTTAAGGATGATGTTCCTTGGTTGACATGAATAATGTGCTCGTGTAAGCATCACATGTAAGTCTTTGAATATGATTTTGTTCTTTTTCTTCAGCTTTGGTGCTGGATTGCTTGGATCTATCTTCTACATACGTATGCTGGGTAATAGTGTGGATTCTGCGGCAGGTGGAGGGGGAGCTAAAGGTCTTCTCAGGTACATTTGTTGTGAAACAAAATGATTATATTTGATCTGGCCATGACATCTTAGTTTGTTATGCTCTATGTGGTATTTGTAGTTTTTGCTGCAATTTGGTATTCTATAGTTTGATACATAGTTGCTGGGATCTCCCAACCTAGGTGGCAATCCCTCTATGGAATCTCGCTCCCACATTTCGGGAAAAGGATCTTCAAAGGATCTTGATTTTAAATTTCAGGATCTCAATCCCCACGTCAAAGACCAAGATAACAACCAAAATGAAGATTTTCAGACCAGCTAGCAATGAAACTATACTTTTAATATAACTACATTGTTCGCTAGTTAAAAACAAAGAGATCTCTACTTTAAAGAGTATCTATAGTCCTAGACTGTGTACTTTTTATTGCTAGGAGCATGATCCCAAAAGGCTGGGATCGAGATCCCAATAGGTCGGCATCAAGATCCCCAAAAGGTTGGGATCAAGATCCCTAACACTTAGGGATCTGAATCCCTAACATATGGCGTTATACAGACAATGCCCCAACTATAGGGATCTTCTAGCCTTTCACGAACCCCCAGTTTGCGATCCCTATCCCAACCCGTTTTGATTCCGTTCCAACAACTATGGTTTGATAAGAACGGTTACCCTAGTAGTGAAAAATACAACCGTGGCTTTCTTTAAGCAAGTATTTCTGATTTAAAGTGTCAAATTGAGAATCTTCTTTCACTATAGAAAACCTGAAATTTTGAAAGTTTCTAAACTGTCATCCAGCACTTATCAACTGCAATTTTAGAAATTTTTGTCAGTTCCAAAGTGCTCCATTATAGTAGCTATCCTTCTCTCTATTATAATTCTAAAAAATTTTCAGTCATCAACTACAATTTTAGAAATTTTTCTCAGTTCCTAACTGCTCCATTATGGTAGCTATCCTTCTCTCTATTATAATTCTAAAAAAATTTTAGTGTTTCAGAGAATTTCATGTACTTCAATACTATTATATGTATTATATGGTTACAAAACTGAAACTTTTATTTCAACAGACGCTATTTTTCAAAAAAGAATTGTTGATTTCTTACTTAAATTTCATTCTCAGGGGAGCAATTGGACAGCCGAGGCTATTCGTACCAGTGATCTTAGTCATGATCTATAATCGTTGGAATGGGTAAGAAAAATGGATTTTATTTGCCTCTTTGCTTAGCAGGATATGGTGGAAACGGAACTCTTCTGTTTGAACTTCTGCACGTTGTTGCCTTTCTTGTTTCCAATGTGAATATCTCTTATACTGCAATAATTTATAAATCGTAGTTCTTCTGTCCTAAATTCCTAATCGCTTCCTTTAGCATGTAGTGCCTATGGTTATCAGTCTAACATTTTGGTTATCCTGTTGTCATTGTAAACTTATGCACTGTCTTTCTGCTATTCTTCTATTACTGGCTTTTGAAGTTGAGATTTATGAAACTGTCCTCAACATTTTGGTTATCTTGTTATCATTGTCAACTTATGCACTGTCTTTCTGCTATTCTTCTATAACTGGTTTTTGAAGTTGAAATTTATTAAATTCTGTGTATGTCAACACTTACTTCAAGTGGTTGAGCACATGCAAAGTGCATGAGTTGGTCATTGCTTCTACTTGTTGAATTTCATGTGAAGTTCAAACTAATTAGTGAATTAAATCTTCCATTGTTTTCCTGGGAACCATTGGTTGGGCAGAATATCTCCAGGTTCAAGCAACCTCATTGGAGTTCACACTTTTGTCCCCAATGGTGGGTTTTTGAAGTCATATAAAACCATTGTGAAACCCAAAGAATATTGAGTATTGTCCATGTCTTTAGGATGGAGCTCGTGTTAAGTTACCTATGAAGGTGGACATGGAGAAGGCCTGTTATCTTTGTGCAGTATTCTGCTTCAGGCATTGTCATGATTCTCTTATTATATATTGATGGCATTGTTCTTACATGGGGTAGTCCTGTTGCATAAATGTGTTCCTGCTTCCTGGTAGAAATCGTTTTTTTTTTTTTAGTGAATCAATGGGGATGATGGGCCCCTACCCGTTTTATTAAAAATAAGATAATACATGAGATATCGTTTTACAACCCTAACCAGGGGCACATCAGCAACATCCTAGTTTGATATCAAGGATGCCTTAACTTTATTTTTATGTTATTGAGGTTGTAAATACGTCTCCATGGAATATCCATCTTCCAAACAAAGTATACCATGGACAATAATATGCTTGACCGAAAAGCATTAACACTCTCTCCAAGTTCAATGTCAGGTTACTTCAATTATCAAGTTGCTCCTCTACTTAACCCTACATTTTGGTAGTATTTTCTGGGTAAAATCTCATCTGTATTATGCTGCAAATTTGGTGAGCTAGCTGATACAGCTCTATGGACATTTCACAGCAGTTAGTCCTCCCTTATATCAAGTTTGTGGCCTCTGTGGCCTTCTCATTGCTCTACACTTTCTTCTGCAAGAGATGTCGATCTTGACCTGGTTGATTGGTTAAAGGATCAATGCCCTACATTTGGGTGCTGTGTCTTGGGTCCTAAGTATGTCAGTGTACCAATAATCTACCTGCCATTACCTTTCCACTATGGAAATAGAAGTTCTTGGGGCCTTCCCCACTGACTCTCCAAAAAAACAAAGAAATAGAAGTTCTTCCTGCAGGACATTGTGGCAATGTGTTTTACTGCTAATCTTAGTGCAATATATTTGTGTGCACTAAACATATAGGAATTGATTTTCATTTGGACTAGGAAAAGGTTGCCTAGGTGATATTCTGACCATTTTTATGTACTCAAAGAATCAATTACTTCATATTTTCATGAACTATCTTTTGAAGGACCAATTTCATTGTCTTGAAAGGAAGTTGGTAACACATCAAGAGCACTGCTATAATTTTGGAATTAGATTTTTCCATTCTTTGATTACTGTGAAACAATTTGGTTGAAGAACTGTGGCTGAACTCAGGATGCTTGTACCGGAATATGGATTTTTGCATCTTGATTTGATTCCAATGCTCGTTGGGTTCTTCACTTATAAGGTTGCTACATTTGTGCTTGCCATACAAGCTGCTCTGCCTCTCGTTGAGAAGAAAGAACAGGCGTAATATTATAGGTACATGTGGCTCCATCCTCTTATTCCCCTCTCACCCTTACTATTGTTGCCTGATATTTAACCATTTTGAAAAGAATTCACGTGGGGCAGGCAAAAATATGTATTTTCCCATTACAGCACACTGATTACATATTTTGGGGATAATTGATGCCCCTCAAGATGCTTATGATTCTGAGAATGTTCATAGCATATGTGAAAGAATGTGTCTTATGAATTCATGTTGTTAGAGATCATTTGGTTCTTTAATTGGATTGTGCCTTTCAATTTCTTGATTGTTTGTCTGGGTTACCCAATGACAATGAATTATTCAATTAGCCAAAACAAAAATCGAAGTTTCTACATTGTTATTTGTTTTTAGCTAAGCATAAAACAATGATTATATGGCTAAATGAATTGTTGTTAGGCTGTATCAAAGCTGGACTTTCTTGTTCTATAGCTACTTCTTTCCATGGTGAAATTCTTCCAATTATTTGGCGATTAACTCAAATAATCCATGTGTTTTGAACTTTTAGAATCCATTACTTTGATTTGCCTTGCAAGTAGGGAAGACAGTTCGATATAATCTATTTTTCCTTTCCCTTTTTTTTTCTTTGGTGGTCCGGTGAAAAGAATGAAACTTGAGATTGAGTGTTGCTAATATCGACTATTAACCACTCGAGCTCATTCCTGATTCCTCAGTCCATGTACCCCATATACTTCTCTACTGTGTGATTCAAATCTAGTAATATTTTTTACGGAAATCTCAACTTACACCAATAAAAGCATCATGAAAAGCGAATTTACCGGAAGCAGACCATTTGATTGCCTTTTGTATGGATGGCCATGGCAAATTGGAAAGACATGCGTCGGAGAAAAACTATACCCATTCATTCATCATGGAGTTAGCATGCACTTTCGGGTCAGAGTTCAAGAAAGACTGAAAACAAACAGACAAATCAAGGTTTTAAAAAACGAATTGGTGACCCTAATGAGCCTCCTCAAAATTGTATTGGATTGGTGGATTGATGATTCAGATTGGAGAATCGGCTGATTTTGACTTAAAATTATTTCACAAAATCAGTAAAAATCCTAAAAAATAGTGTTTTTTTAATTTCAGAAAAAAAAACGGGTGGTGCATTATGTATTTTTTTTATTTTGTAAAAATATATAAATATTGAGATGTCTTTTCCTTATCTGAATGTTTGCTGACTATTATGTTCATATCATTGGAAAAAAACAAAGAGCTTATAATCATTATGAATATAAATACATGGCCAAAATGAAGCATATAACAATTAAAATGCAACCTAATATCAAAATAAAAGATATTGTATTTCCTCTTCATTGTATGGATGCCATTCATTAAATTGTCTCAACAATTTATTCAGTATCGTTGGAAAAAAGAGGAGATTACAATCATCATGATATGAATACATGGTCCAAAATGGAGAATACAATAACTAAAATACATCTTAATATCAAAATAAAAGATGGCGTCATTCTTCCTTTTCATCATAATGATGCCGCTCATTAAATTGTCTCAACAATTCATTGAATCAATCCATGTACACCTCAAAATCCTTAATGCCGATCTGATTATACCTGCATCCCCAACAGTTGGATAATTGGTGCTCTCCTTGCCCAAAACCACCAAGGGTTGTCTACTGCTCATGATGACCCCACTCTCTTTCTCGCTCCCACCTCTTGCTAACCCTCACTCTCCTGTTGTTGGATGTCGAGCAGCGTATATCCTAGTTGGTACACGGTGGCCTCATAATTATAATCACTCTCAGGTCCTCCCATCCCCCTTCCCAACCTCCTTCAACATGCCACACTGCCTTCTTCTCCAATAAATTTTATAAATGTTGTCGGGGAGCCTCTGTTTATTCATCTTCTTCATTACATTCCTCATCGATTGCTTTAAAGAATGCTCTATTGCATAGCACTGGATCATCGTTCTCTACCAGCCACTACTCGGTTGTATCTGCAGTAAATATCGTGTCTAGGTTAATCAGGCTGAAATTCTCACCCTTCCTCTTCAAATGTCGTTTTTGGAACTTCAAATTGTATTGAACGTAAACAAGCTTATGAAGCCTCTCTAAAGTCAGCTGAGTTCTTCTAGGAGTGTATATCTATTAGCAAGTATTGCAGTTCCACTCACATCCAGTAGCCAAACATGCTTGGGAGAGCACATTGTTTGCTATCTTTTTTAAATGAGGTATGACTCCTCTGTGACACTCCCCCCACTTAGCTGAAATGAGAACGAAAGAGTATCGTAAGAAAGGTTCAAAATATTTCATGAGGAGAATGATATGAAGAAGACATAATTAAATAAGAGATTACTTGGATTCATCATATTGCGAGAAGCCTTGGCACTGCAAGTGAGCATTCCGCTTCCCTATACATAGACATTTGTAAAAGACATTATGCTTTATTGCTTTAATTATGCATTACAAGTATCGAATCAATGTAATTACTACTGCAATTGTTAAATCTTACCTTGTTCAGTGCCGCTAATTGACTTTTACGGCTTCTTTCCACCCTCTCAATAATGTATTTCACGCCCTTGATGGCATTGCTAGGAATATAATAGGTATCGAATAGAAACAACTTGGGTTGAAGTAGAAACTTATACAATACAAAAATAGAGAAACAATTTAATTTACCATTGATCAGATATTTTAATCTAAACTTTCTAAGTATATAAAAGACATTTACTTGTATAGTAGATCGGACGTCGATAATTTCCAGCACCCTAGAGGCAAAATTGCACTTCTTAATAAACCTCTTCGCCCTTTCTATCCTTTTATAAAGAAATTTCATGGTAGATTTCTTGTCACTATCCATTATTCTTAATTCTTAATAGTGTGCCTAAATGTGCAATTACGAATTTGATGTGGGCACACCTGGATCGGAATCTCTTATCATATATTATGCCTTTTACATTCTATCCCTCACGGGACTTTGCGAGCTTGTTTGTAGTTCACTCCTCGTTGGATACATTCTCTTCAATGTAACTTGGAAATGTATAATAGCTCATGGCCAAGTAGTTTGTTCAAAGTGGGTGGTAGCGGGCCTGATTAACTCCTTCGTGGTATGATGTCTCATCAAGTGAAGGATCCTAGAGTGTTTATAGGAACATAAGGAGAAGCAAAACTAACATAAGGATAAGCACATGGACACTGAAAATCTATAAGCAAGGATCAAACTTACAAGAACAAGCAGAAGTTGGACAACTTACAAGCACAAGCAGAAGTAGAAAGCTTACAAGCAGAAGAAAAACAAAAGCACACCAAAAGAAATAAATTAGGCTGAGAGGCTCTAAGTAGCACTCTGCCATTACAACTAACTTAAGAGACTTTATATAGGCACCAGACTTGAAATCCGGATTCCAAACCATAATAAAATAAGACAGGTGGCCTGGACAAGTGGCTATTTTGAACAGTAAAAAGTAGATGTACAGTGGACAGGTGGCCGACATGAACAGCGAACAGTGAATATTCTTCCTTATCTCCAACAGTAATATCTATAGTGATTTTGATCAGTGCTGCCGACAGAATAGTGATATCCACAGTGATATTGAACAGTGCTGCCGACAAAATAGTGATATCTATAGTGATTTTGAACAGTGTTGCCGACAAAATAGGGATGTCCATGGTGAGGGTCCAATATAGGTATCATCATTGGAACCATCTGTTTGTATTTCTGCAGGAGGAGGGTGATCAACAAGCCATATGTGCAGTCGATGTAGTAGTGCAGCGCCTTGGGGAGTCTCATCATTCTATACTGTGGTTCCTGTATAGGCATCCAAAGGAATCCATTCTGGCTGGATTCTGTTAATATAACACATGAGAATTTTTAACTCTTTCCATAATTCTGTCTGAAATATCCAAAAATTCAGGAGATTAGAATCATACCAATCAATGGTCTGGATAAGAGGATGTTGGGTAAAATAAGTATTTTTAGGATAGATTTGAGGTCTAAGGTCTTGATGGAAAGCTATAATGATAGAAGGTCGGTGTGGATAACCAAATGATTCAATCCATTAATTATAATGGTAGTGCTTTAAAAGGAATTTATAGAAGTGGAAGGCTATGGGATTGGGGTGGATGTAATTGTTCCATTATAAGAAATGACAATGTCTGAGATATGATAATAATTTCCTTACATGGAAATTAAAACATATATGGTGGTTTTGGGTAAGATACCAAAGGAAACAAATAGCTTCTTTTGGCATATTATAATAATATCTAGTTTGGAATATGGATAAAAATGGGTATGTAGGATGGCATCGAATTTCTTGAAAACATTCTCCATGATTTCTGATTAATATTTCATGCATTTTTTGTTGCATATTCTCATTTCTTGATTCTATTGTTTTACTGAGAATGATGTCAAATATTTCATCAGGAACGTCTTTTGAATCTTCATCAATTCTGATTATTGCTCCCAAAAAAGGAACAACTGAAAGACCTGGTTCTTCAGAAAATTTTCTTCGAGAAAACATATTTGCCAAAATATTGTTCTTTCCAGAAATATGCTTATACTCAAAATTCTATTGAGAAAACCAAGTTGACCATCTGAGTAATTGAGGATTCGAAAGAATCTTATTCTTGAATTTTAGCATATTTGGAAAAGCAGATAAATCCATTTCAACAAAGAAAGTATGTCCTATTAGATGAAACTAGAAATTTTCAATTCATCTTTTTACTGCAAGGATTTCTTTGAATGTTGAATGGTAATGAAGTTCAGATTCTTTGAACTTTCTACTTTTATAGCCACAAATCATTCTGTCTTTTTCTTTTTCTTCAAGCAAAATACATGCTCAAAATTCATCAGAAGCATCTGTTTTTAAAATTCTTTTTCCTGTAGAAGGGATTTTTAAAGAAGTTAAATTTTGATATAATCTTTTGAGCTCTAGAATACACTTAGTCTGTTTTCTTGTCCATAGCGGTGCTTTTTCCTTTAGCAAAAGGTAAAGAGGACTAGTGAACAGAGAAAGTTTGGGAATAAAATGGGACATATAATTTACAATTCCTAAAAATTGCTGGATTTGCTTTACAGAAGATAAAGTATCAGGAAATTCTAGCAGGTGTTTGGCTATATGGGGCTGGAGTTTGTACATTCCATTGTGAAAATGCATACCAAGGAAATCTATTTCTGTAGTAGCAAAGATACATTTTTTTTCAGAAAGCATAATACCATAGTTACAACAGAGGGAGTGGAATTTATCTAACAAGAGAACATGACTTTCTAGGTCAGGAAAAATAAGGAGTATGTCATCTATACATATTAGTGCCTGTGTTGAGATTGGTTCAAAAATGGTTGTTAAGACCTTTTGAAAATATGTAGGTGCATTTTTCAAACCAAAAGGCATAACTGTCTATTGGAAATGGTAATTTGGTAAACAGAAGGCTGTTTTAGGACGATCATCTGGGTGAATTGCTATTTGCCAAAATCCTGATTTCAAATCAAATTTGAAAAATATATGGGCATGAGAAATTTGAAAAAATAATGCAATTTGATTAAGCAAAGAGAATTTATCATCTGCAAGAAAAGTATTCAAAGGTTGGTAATTGATCACTAACCTAAGTTTTCTTCGAATTTGTTCAGCTCTTTTGTTTACATAAAAAGCTTCACAAGCCCAAGGAGAACTGGTAGGCTCAATTAACTGTCGTGTCAGTTATAGGTCGACTTGGACCTGGACCTGAACCCAATGTTCGCAAAATCGAACCGGAATGGTTAATCGGACATGGGCCCAAAAGCGGTTTAATCTTTCCAACCAGGCAAGTCTCAGGCAGTCAAAAAAGTGTTGAAAAGAACAAAAAAATACAAAAAAAAAATCTACTAAAATATGAAAAGCATATAAAGAATAATTAAAACAAAACACATTCAAATTATTTGAAAATTAATGACAAAAATGGATTTTAACAAATTGATTTGTGCCTAGGGGTATTTCTAAAATTTTCTGAAAAAGATGTGAATATATAAAAGTGAGTATTAATAACCAACACCATTTTTAATCCTAACCATAATTTAAAGAATATTTAAAAATACATTACAAACCAAATTCCTTATTTTTAGGAATTTATATACTTTTTTTTATTATTATTTTAAAAATACCTGTCGATCACTAAAACTGAAACCGGCCAATAGCCGGTTTCGATCTAACTGGCCGGTGAGCGGTTTAATCGCCTGGTTTTTCCAATAGTGCTTGAACCATACCCAACTTGGGTCCAAAAAAAATCTGGACCTAACGTAGACCCAACTCAAATCTAGGGTTTTGGACCTGGACCCGACCCATTGGGTTTAGAACCTTTACAAAATGCTTTAAAAAATATTCAAAAAATATATCTCATACACACTCACATCATACATTTATAGGAAGATTTATCAAAATAATATATATTTCAAAAAAGAAAAAAAGTTTATGTAAGGTTGCAAGCTTAAAATATAGAATTACGTATGCACTTAAAAAATCCATCGGAAAATGTTGTTTTAATGTTGAAAAACCCTCTAATTTATCATCTCAACATCAAGATGTAGGAATATGAGATAAAAAAAGGTTTTAAGTCCCAGAAATAGTGCATCTTGCAACACATTATCTAGACCGTTCATTTTCAAGATTTTCGTATGTTTATAGATCTACTTGATTTTAATCATTTTTGCGGTTTAAAATTTTATAATTAGATATGAAAATAGATTTTCAAATAATCCTAATAATTTTTTACATAAAAATTAAATGTTAAGATAAAATTTGGAGGTGCCTTAATTGGATTGTTTAACGTGCAACCTTATAGAAACCACATCCTTCAAAAACTAATATTTATGTGTATATGAGAGTATGTATAGATTTGTAAGGGTTATGTCCGGATCAAATCAGTTTGGTCCTAGATCCATGGGTCTAGGATTTTGGACCCAGACCTGATCCATCGGGTCCTAAACTTGGACCCGCACCCGGATCGGGATCTAGTCAACCCCTCGAGTGCCCATTTGCCACCCTATCTTTCACTCGAGTAATAAGGCTCCCTTTCTCTCTCATCAAATAAGGCCTTGCGGTTTTTAATATTGAAGTTTTGATCAGTAGGATTTCATGGCTTGTGCTTTGAAAATAGTAGCAATTTCGAGTTTTTATGAAGCACAAACCGGAACGTTCGACGGTTCTTTGTTTGCTTTCGTTCGCTTGTACTTCGTCATTAACTCAATGAAACTTGCTTATATATCCGGCATCGAAACTTGCGGGTTCGGAACTTGGGACTCATAATGCATGGGCTTCTCTTTTGTTTTGCAAGAGAAGGAAATATATTTTCAAATAAGGAAAAGGAAATGGGCAGCTTCCTATGCTTCCCTACAACATAAAATTTATATACTTCCCTTTATCCAATCGTCTATCCTGAATGGATGAGTGAGATGACTTCAATCACAATGTCAAATCTCTACACTATTTTTTTTTTAGTTTTTTTTTCTACAAAATATGTTGACACCAAATTTTGGGTGTCCACTACTTCTATCTTAAACTCGCACTTGTAAAAAATATATATATAAAAAATGTTCTCAATAAAATAAAATAACCAAAATACCCCTTAAAGTTTAAAAGGCTATTTTGGTTATTATATTTTGTCGCTTTTTACTATTTTTTTTAGGTGCGCCCTATTGAGAAGATGACATGTACCAAATTTTATATTGACACAATTTGTATAAAAGAATTAAAAATAAAATCATATGAGGTGTTGGATCCAAATTAAATGATAAGTAGATCACTAGATCTAAATTGGACGGTTGGATGGAGGGGCGTATATATCTTCTTTGTTGTAGGAGAATTATAGAAGCTTTTCCTAAAAGGAAAAAGTTCATATAAGGACGCTACCTTATAATGTAGAACTGCAGATGCCTCTTGAAATCCATTGAAAAATGTAGTTTTAATATTGAAAAACCTTTTGATTGATCATCTCGACATCGAGATGTATGACTATGAAAAATAAAAAGATTTTAAGTCTCAGAAATAGTGCATTTTACAACATATTATCTACACCGTCCATTTTCAAGATTTTCATATGTTTATAGATATACTTGATTTTAACCATTTTTGAAATTTTAAATTTTATAATTAGATAAAAAAATATATTTTAAGATAATCCTAATAACATTTTACATCAAAATTATATACCATGATAAAATTTGCAGGGCACCGTACCTCTACACCTACAGAGACGTCCGTATGGCAATTGCACCCTTCCTAAAAAAAATGTAAACCATCTAAAATAGGACCAAACCTTCTCATCAAACAACGGAAAAAAGAAAAGAAAAGAAAAAAATTGTCGAACACATGACAAAAAACTAAATTAATTAATTAATTAATATAATCATATATTATATTATCTAGATACAAACAATACATGAGACAAAGAATAAAGTTAAACTAAAAAGAAAACAAAAGAAATAAATAAAAAATAACTAATTTTTTTATCAATAAATAAATGAATTAAATATTCATATATTACCCAATTCATCATTCAAATTTGATACATGAAATTCATCATTTTAACCTTTTTTCAATTAATTTGGGTCAGCAAAATAAATCCTGGTTATCCATTTTACTCTATTTCAAGCCATATCCTCAATGTAACTATAAGTTCCTATATCTTTTCGGACTACTTCCAACACGTCCTTTTGGCCTTACCCCTTGCCATTTTCAGTCCTTCCACTTTGAACTAACTCACACCTCCTAACAGGTGTTGTATTTGGTCGGCGCCACCCATGACCAACCCACCTAAGTCTACTCTCTCCATATATTTCCCAATTCATCATTCAAATTTGATAGGTGAAATAAATTCATTAAAAAAACACAGAGAATTTATATAATACTACATCAACCAAATAAAACTTAAATAAAATAATAAAATAAAAAATGAAAAACTTATGCCATTGCCCTTTTCAAAAGGGCACAAAAACACATCTAGGAAAGAGAAGAAGAAAGCAAACGGAAGAATAATCCTACAATATGTGGGAGGAGAGCTTCACGGGATGGCATAATTTGCATAAGATTGTAACCTTAAACAATCAAAGTAAAACGTACTCCCAAACTTTATCATTAATATAATTTTGGTGTCAATAATTACTATAATTATTATAATAGCATGATAATCTACTTTCATCCCTAATTATAAAATTTTAAACTTCATAAATTGATTCAAATCAAGCAAATTTATATACACATGAAACATTGAAAATAAACTGTGTTGATAATATATTGCAAGATATACTATTTTTAGGACTTAAAATGATGTTTTATTTCCCTATCCATATATCTCAATATTTATATCTAGATGATCAATTAGATGGTTTAACAACATCGAAACAACTCTTCTCAAAGGATTTGTGAGGTGCACCTTAATTCTATAATACAAGATATCAACCTTATATAAAAGCTTTTGCTTTTCATAGTTGTAAGCTTTTTTAGATTCATTTTATTGCAATATCAGTTGCATTTTAAACTACATCTGAACAATGAAATGATTGTAACAGTTAGCATGAAACATGTTCATAGTATTTATGTATCATCGTTAATAAAAATCTACAGTGGAGGTTGCAATACACCCATTATTCTTTGAAATCCAAAAAAATTACATTTTTAAGAAATCGTAGCAAGTTTTTTTTCAAGGTCAAGCTCTCTTAACTGCCGATCCAAATCACCAATTCTCTGATCCAAACCGATTCCCTATATGACCGATTCGCCCAACTAATCTAGGTTTTCAAAGAACGGTGCTAACGTATACTCGGTACAGGGATGGCGTTCTCATTAAAACCGTCCTCTAACAAGTAGACCTCGTTATTTATTATTGAAAATGTTTTATATGCCAATTGGGCACGGAAAGTAGCTGGCAACTTAAATTAATGATACCATCCAAAATATTATTATTTTTTATTTTTTAAGAAAAAGCATAGTTAATCACTCAATATTTAAATATGAGAAAAACATAGAGCAATTGAGCAGAGAAAAATCATTCCTCAGCTAATGACTACATGTAAACCATATTTTTATCATCTTTGCAAAAATAAATGACCATAAGAGAAATTCAGATCATAGTGTTCTGTGAATTTTAGAGAAAGAGAGAAGAGGAGGAATTCAAATCAAATGGTTTTGTCATTTTCACCAAACTCTTGTCTATAAGAGAGAGGGAGGGAGGGAGAGATTCAAACTATATTTCTGTCAATTTTACAGAACTCTTGGTTTTAAGAGAGAGAGATTCAAATGTAAACTCCATGTTAAACACGGCAGGGCACCTCAAAATCAAGGCTCTTCAAAAGTAAAGACCATCCGACTGCAGCGACTGCCAGTTTGTCGAAACCCGGGTTGGTCAAATAGATTGCCGCCGATCAGAACATGGCCACCGTCGTTGCCGCATGCAGAGACCTCACCCTGTGGTAAGTGCTGCATCTTCCTGCGGCGCCCTGCTCCAACCGGCACATTTCTCAGCGCCCCACCGGCGGTCCAGTACCGCTGACACCCCCTGCAAAAGTGCCTCGGCTGGTTTACATTGTAATTGTTGAAATAGCAAAACTTGGTTTCCTTGCTCTTACAACGTGGGCACTGAACTGAATTTTCAGGCCTTCTCACCCTTGACTCATCGGATTCTTCGACCTCCCTTTGTTGAAGCTGATTTTCTTCGATTTCCGAATTTATTGGGATCCTTTTACCAAACAGCTTGAACACGCTTTCTTTGGGCATTTGGAAGCTTTTCCTTGGGGATCTCCAAATTTTGCACCGGAAAATTCAATTTTTTTCCGGCGATTTTGGCCTGTAATAATTGGAAGTGGGTATCCTCAGGTTTTCTCCGTCAGAGAATGTACATCATTGGAAGGGAGGGAAGAGGGAATAAATAGTTGTTTCTTCCTCTTGGCACGCTAAAGGAAAGTACTTAAATATGTTATCGTTTTTGGTAGTTTAATATTTGTGCTGAAATGGGAAAAAGCTTATCCTGTTACGCTCTCTGAAATTGGTGGATATTAAATGAGTGGGGTGATTTCGACTTTCGATTCTTTGAAATGTGTTGAGTCACTTTTGAGTAATTTATTTTGATTGATGGTGGTTCTCTTGGTTTACTTCTAATTCTGTAGTATACACCTGATCGCTTGCGTAAGTTTCCCTTCATTTGCCCATGAAAGATATTACTTATGGAATGATTAGGCAAGCCTTAGTTTTCCTTTGTTTAATTGAAAACCTCTTTTCTCTCTTTTTTTTTTTAATGATTAGGCAAGCATAATTGTTTTCTAGTTATTGATATGCTTAGGGTCCAATCCAACGGTTTTTTATGACTGGATTTTTATGTAGATCTAAGCTCTATGAACCCCACATGGGGTTTCACACTGTTTACACCCAAATCTAAGGTGGAAATCTATTCAATGCTTATCCCATCTTCATCTGTGTCTAAACTTACTAATTTAGAATGTTGGTAAAGATTGGATTCCGTCAAACTATGATTTAAGGAATTAGTGTTTATAGTGCAAATCGGGACGATCTAAAGATGAGATTTGATTAGATTCAAGCCACAAACTGAATTTTTTAAGAGAGTGATAAAGAGTAGGACAATCAAATTCTGATCTGAGGCTAAATCTACTCATAAATGAGTAGATCTGCTATCAGATTAATCGCAAAGCTAGCATCGTTTCGAAATACGAAATACTACGTCTAATTCTAATAAAATAAATAAAAATAAAAATAAATATAGAAAAGAGTAAAAATGTACCAGACCGGGCCAGTTGGTCTGGGGCTCCTGAGGCTTCGAGGCCTCGCCCATGTCAGGACAGGTTGAATTTATGTCGTGCGTCCTCTTTGTTTCTCTTTACATTTTGACCAGGTCTTGGCTTAGTTGGATGAATTTCTTAATCTAAGGGCTACAGGTGGCTTAAAGCTAAGGTTTTTCTAAATCTAAGTTCTAGATCTAGGTGTTTCTCAGGTCTCACAATCTCAAAGTTTTCTTTGGACATATAAGCTAATAAGGTCTAAAGAGCCTAACCTAAAAATGGCCCACGAAATCATCATTTTAAAGATAAAAAATGGTTGGAATGGGCAACAACCCGTAATAAATGGATTTCCCATCCTAAACTGCCATTTTGGTGGTCAAAGGCTTGAGCGACACTACCCATGTTGGCCAGACCAAAATGGTCCAAGTTCAATGAACCTAGCCAAAAATGATCCGGAAGATGAACTGGGTCAAAAATACGCGATTCTTGACAGTTTTGGTTCGTTGACACTAGGTGTGTCTCCCAGACCAAATTTGCCAAGAATAGGTAGTTTTTAATTCCGGGGTGATTCAAAAGTTTTTGAGATATTACATGCCAAAAATCACGGAATTCTAGACAATTTTGGTTAAGCAACACTAGATTTGTCACCCAGACTAAATCTACCCAAAATCGACAGTTCCAAACTTTGAGGTGATCTTTGGGCTATTGTGTTGCTGCCTGTCGAAATTTAGGTCAAAACGAGGTGTTTTACTATTTTTAATGATTTTTTTTATTAAAACTAGGTGTTCTGCAGCATTCTAAATCACAGAACAGACATTATGGACTATGGTGGTCTATGCCATGGGGATTTACTGCGATAGTGTGGTTCTAAAGATGTCTATGGTTAGTCTGGTCCTAAAGCTGTCTATAGTTAGTGTGGTCCTAAGGCTGTCTATGGTTTAGAAAACCATCAAATTTGCCAATTCACAAAATGAGGTGTCTACAGTTAGCCTAGAGAGATCTATTTCTCATAAATCATATGCCTGGGGCCAGCTTAAATGTGTGTAAAAACCAAATGAAAGCTTGGAAATTGTAGGAAAAGAAAACTAGTTTCTTGAAAGATTTTCATAAAAAAAGAATAAATATTAAATAAACTAACAAAAGAGAATAAGGTATTTGAATTAAATACTAGGGAAGCCGGTCCTTGGACTTGACACCCAAATTAGGCGCCTAAATCAGATAGAATATGATGAGTCCTTCCTCCTTTGAGGCTTGCTGATTGAAAGTTTTCTTTAACTCTGGGGAAGAGTGCCTTGGAATTTTGCTTCTAGAGCTTTTTTTTTTGTTGTTACTAGAAAAGATATGCCTTCTTCACCAGGGTTTGTTGTATTTTGAAAGGTTAGGATTTAAGGTTGCTAAAGGTTAGCACAACATTAATGAACTAAGGAATGAGAGAGGTGGGCACAACAATTTCATGTCAGAGCCAGAGCCAGAGCCAAAGCCAGGCCACCGATTCTGGGTGCCAGGCCACCGATTCTGGGTGCCAGGCCTATGGGCCGGGCTTCCAAGCAAGCTCATGGTTTCTTCCTTTAGTTCCATTGTATGTGCATGTTTAGTATAGTTTAATTCTTGCATTTTTAAAAGTCATATTTCAAAATCTCATCCCCTCTTTACTGTGAAATTTTCATTTTCTAAGCTTTCCTTGGCAGGCTTTGGACTTTATCACGTTTGCAAGCCCGCACTGCTGATCCATAAGGTAGTAGCCCCAATGTTCACCTCTCCTGTGGATGACAATTTGACAGAATCTCAAATATATATGTGAGTGATTCTGTTTACGTTTAAGGTCAAGGCCGAGCACTTTAACATAAATGCCAGGGAATTTTTACGTAATATTGAGATGACACGTCACAAGTGTTGCCAATTTACAAAGAAGGAACAAGATCATACACAAGGCCCAATTCACAAACAAAAATCTTCGAAGAATCATATCCCAAAGGCGAAGTCTATTGTAAGAAGTGGTCGTAAAAACAAAAATAATAATAATAATAAAATATTGGGCTAAATATTCGAAAAAAACATTATATAGTTGAAAAAAGAAAATGACAAAAAGATATAAAAAAATAGTTATAAAATAAAAAGAGAAACAAAAATCTCAACCGGCTGATCTGAAAGGGACCATGGAGCGATGGAACAAAGAGTTGCCACGCTCTTCCTCATCTCTCTTTGAATTTTTTCCCTTCTTTATATCTTCCTAAGTTGGAATGGTTCCAAAGTAATCTTGAGGTTTTATAACATCCAAACTTTAAAAGGTTGGTTGTGGAGGTGTGCAATTGGAAATCCAAAGTATCTAAGGAAGAAGGAGTGCTCGATGATTTCTCACCATGAAAGTCCTAGCATAGGTTAGTTGAACAATTAATCATTTCACAACTTTAATGCAAAATGCTAGGCACCAAGATGTTTTCCAACATTTAGCTTTTGGGAGACAGATTTTAGCTAGCATGATATCTAAAAAAGATAGAAATTTTGAAAAATAAAAATAAATCTCAAAATAAGCCCATTAGTGGCAACGTTGTTACGTCCATCGCTGCATGGCATGAAACTGATTAAAGGGATCCATAGTTGCATGAGCTTAAACTGCTAACTAAGTCATTTTTTAATAATTCCCTCTTTTTCAAAATTTCCTTTTAATTGTGTAATTCTAATTCCTTAATTTTCACTTCTTCATTTTTAAGTCTATAGTTTTTTCAAACTCCAAATACAAGGGCCATCCTGATTTGGATGTTTTTTAAAAATTTTGTATCGCTAATTTCAAAAACTTTAACTTCATTAGTTCAAATCATAAGCTAGTATCGGTACATGTTCTAAAATTTCTCCTTGTTTTTAAATTTTTTTTAAAATATTTTTTAAAATGAAAGAGTTGGATCAACCTCGAAAATGATGACATTGTCCCTTCATCCATGTCTTCATCTAAGATCTAAGAGATTGCCTGATTTGGAATTTCGGAAGTGCAATGGGGAATAGAAAATCTAGAAAAAAACCTTCAAAAAAATTAGGTATCCCTTAACCTTCTTAAACTTTTTAGAAAATTTAGAAACCTTCCTATGTGAAAACCAAGTTTTTAAAACTTTTTGAGCTCATAGGAAACCTTAGATACAAAAGGAATTAGGAATTTTGAGATAAATTCGGATTCATCTCATTTCATTCATTCAAGACTTCAAAACTTAAAATAAGTGGCATATCATGACTTCAAAACTTAGAATTAGTGGCATGATGGAACCCATATAGCAATCCTGACACACTGCGGAAAACTTCCCAAAGAACGTTCAAATTTGACCCTCAAAGATAGGCAACTAAGATAGGGTGACCGTCAATATGCCGTTGGACCTAATGGGATGCACCATTGGTTTTAAGTCTTTCTAATTTCAATCTATCAGTCTTAAATGTCTACTTTTTTGCCACTCTCATATCCCACTCAAAAAGCAAGGAGTGCTAAGGAGAGGCAACTGTAGACAAACATAAACTCTCCCCCTCCCCCCCCCCCCTCGCCCCCCCAACACCTAAAAAAATAATAATAAAAAATTAATTTTATCTCTAGAACCTTGGAGTACACTATGCCAGTGCATTGTATGAACCTTGAAGCACACTATTCCAGTGCATTGTATGACACAATGAACTACACCCAATCTAGACCATTGTCCAACTCGTAATATTCCTTAGATATTCTATATTCCTTAAATATCGCATTTTAAGAAACCAGATATTCCAAATAACCTTAGAACGCAAAATATTTCCTAAATATTCCCCATTTATTCCTGATATCAATATCCCAATTTTAGAAATAAAATATTGACATAGTTAGGTAAATATCTCAGAATCTGACACTTAGAAAACCAATATCCCATGAAAGGGTAATTTCTATAACTAGAAAGAAAGGAAATACAGATTGCAACATGGAAGAAGTGTCTGATTTCGATCAAATAACCACCATTAGACTCATAACGATCT